ATTTCGAAAGAGGTAGATGCACTCATCAGAATGTACGAACACGACAAGACCATCGAGATTGAAAGAGTACCGTGGGGCTATATTCCATTACCTGAAAACACTCCAGAAGAGGAAGACCCAAACAAGGAAGTACATCGAGCTGAGGTGAATCATTTCCTTTGGACTACGTTTTCTGAGCACTCAGAAAATCGACATCAAGAATTTTTAAAAAAAAAAAGTTGGTATGCCATTTAAATTTTATTAGCACGTGCTGGTTTGGAATGACTGCATTCTTCGTTCAAGAGGGAAGACAGAATATCTCGCCTTAGCCGACTTTGACGAGGTTTTTGTACTGTACAATAACCAGTCATTCCTCTCATTCCTTGACAGCTTGCTGGAAAAGAAACCAAAAGCAGGATCTTTTTCGTTTTTGAGTGTTTCAGCTTATATGCAGGTTACCAATTAATTGATTATTTAGTCACTTTTCACTACTGCCCTAATTTATTTTTACTCTAGCTTCCTCTTTCAGCATACCTACTTGGACGCAACTGACCCAACACAGATTCAATTTAATGATCATTACGAATTTAAAGTTGATAATAAAGCTTTCCGACACGGATCAATGAGCAAGGTACGGTAGACTCCGTTACCAAAGTACACTCTGCTATAAGAAGTGAATAACAACATCTTTACATACATTTAGTTTGGAAAAATCTTTCCTTCTTCTTTATCTCTTCATTTGTAACAGATAAGCGTAGAATTCAGGTGGTAGTCATCCCAGAAAGAGTAGAGTCTGAAGCAGTGCACGAAAGTTTAAGAATGGAAAAACCATTTACGGAACATATCGTTGACCCAAAAATAGGCAAGCTTTTGCACCTAAGGTATATATGCAAATTCCTGAGTCGCGTAGCCTTTCATTTAACAGCCTAATGCAACTTTCTGACAGGTTGCGACCTATGGAGATGATCGGCGATTTGCTCATTCCGACTACAGATGTTGCAAAATATGTTCCGGCATGGGACCGAAGATATAAGAAAATTATAAACGACGAAATAGAAAGATTAAAAAGTTCGACTGGGGCTGCAGAGTTGACCCTAAAGACTAATCAATGGAAAAATAATGGCTTCAAGGTACTCCATTTTAACTGCGGCCTTCCAGAAAATTTTAAGACCTTAGATACAACAGATTGTCCAACGGTTTTTGAGAGTTATTCAAGAGTTCAGAAATGAAAAATCTCTAATTTTTCAACACCGGCCAAGTTTTTTTCTCAGGTAATGCTAGAAGCGGACAATTGTTTTGAAGCTCTGGAGAGTGAAGATAAAGTATGTCCAACGCGATACAGATGTCTTGCTCGTTTGCGAACTATGAAGTACAACGAATGGGTTCATGGAGGAAGTAGCTGGGTTGCTTTGTAACAGAACTTCCCAATCAACCGATACCTCTGGCAAGGTACAGACGGTCCTTCTACGTGTTTCTTTACCCGAGGAAACCTCGTAAAGTGGAAATTTTTGAGAAAAGATTTTTTCAATGTTTTAAATGTTTTTAAAGGAAGTTCCTTCTTTTGTCGTTAATAGCTGAACTTTAGTAGCGGTAGAACTATCATTTTTTCACGCCGCCATTCTTTTTCGTTACTAAAGCAAATAATTTGTGACTATGTTAGGCAAAGACTGCTGTACAGTTTGCCTGTTTTTTTCCTAAAACAATTCTCAGTGCACGTGAAACGCGTCAACATTCTCAAAAATTGGTTTCATGATTACAACTTCATCCAGTAACTTTTATTTACGGTTTTTAATATAATACTCATATGAACAAAGGGCAAGTTGTGGAGTGCGATTAATGAATGAAATTTGCTTAACACGAGACGGGGTAATGAAACTTTGTAAATAACGGTATGCTGCTTTTGACAAATCTCTTTCAACCTAACCGTTATTTTTTTTTTTGTCTTTTCAACTGATGCACGAAAAACCTTTTAACTACCTACGACAAGATCGCTGAAGATTAATATTCCTAAAGGTCACTTGCGTTTAAGAACGTGTATTGTCTTGGAAATCTCAACTTGCGCTGAAAGTCGCATTATTTAAATCACACGCATTCACTTTCAAATTCAGGATTGTATGCTCCTATGGTTTTTGCGAACAAATTGTGCTGCGTTTCAATCATTTTGTGACGCGTCTGCTTGTTAATTTTTGCGAAAATAAAGTCTATCTGACGCGATTACTCCAAAATATTTTAATTCAGTGTGTTTGCTCGGCTTTTACAACTGTCACATTCCTCTCAGCTTTCACTGCAGGTGTTTTGGTTGATGGGGCTTTTGATCAAAGAAAAACTCACAAAAGTAAAACTCATTACGGTCTGAGCAACCGTAAGTACATTTCCGCCTGCAACAAGGGAGGTCTTAGCTGACTGATGATTAAGAAGTTCGCTCCGTCAGAACATGATAGAGTCAGATAGCAAGTCTTTGTGTACATATAAATCATTAGAAAATGGTTCACACGTATGCGTTCAAAACTTTAGGACTTTTCATCGCGACACCGTAGCCGTAATCGTACTGGAAGGTAATGAGGTAAGGTCGCAGTAGTTATGGAACTCTTGCGGTAAGTGTTCCTTAAAGACTACTCGTACACCTTTTTCTTTAAACACCTGAGAGGTACAGAATCCTGAAAGGATAACTGCACAGATGACTCATATATTCACTGCCAAAACAGTTTTTAAAATTTGGTAACAACCTGAACCTTGAAAGAGGGAAAGAAATGGTCACTAATGTCGCAAATTTTTCATCAACAGCTCGCTGTGATATTAAAATTTTGATGAAAATTTGAAAGACTTAAAGAAAGTAATCTGTCACCATGACATTTGCTCCTATTTTTTGCGTTAGCTACGAAGTGACGGTCTAACTGCGCGAGATCATTAGATGGATAATAGCTGACATACCTTCGGGTTGTAATAAAAAATTCTTGGAGGTAGAAAAGTTTAAAAGTACTTACAATACTCAAAACGATAAGAAACAACCTTCTTTCTGACTTATTTCCCATTTTAAAACAACGTTCATTTCATTAATACTAGGACAGTTCAACTGCCAATACTTGTCCTGATAGCCTATAATCCAGAACGACGCCTATTAGAACGTAGAGAACCTTCAGCGATTCGAGAGATTCTGCGTGCAAAAGGAATTGACAGAACCGGCGGCTGCAGCTCCATAAAATTTTTCCTCAGCATATAACACTACTTCAATCACTCTCCAACACCATGCACTATCACCTTAAGCGATTTCTCAACAAATTTACCGGTAAATAGTACCTTAGACAGTGCTGAACAATCTGAGTAGAGCTCTCAAACGCCGTCCACAATATCAAACTAACCTCCATCTTCAGGATGCAACAGTTGTATTTCTTTTTACCACCCCTTCATGATTATAAACACCGGACTGTTGTAAATTTGACTATTTCTTTACCATACTTCCGGCACGGCCGATAAGTGGTCCTTAATTACCTTTCTAGTCCAGTTGAGAAATTCGTTGTTGAATAAATTGCGAAATCACCTAGGCCAGTTTAAGGTTTTTTGGACCTTGGAAGTTATCGAAATCCACTCAAAATATAAGTGGGACCAACGCATCTAGCTCTGATATATGGGAAATTATTTGTTGCTCAAGAATATGGAGAATAAGAAGTTTGGAGAAATGCTCAGTTTCTATTGAACTTGCATTTTTCCGTCCTCGTCTGTTTACTCTTCTACATTTTAAAACGGATGAGTCACAAGACGAGACCATATTTCTGTAACCGCCTTCCACAACCCCCGTATACTGAAGCAACAGCTAGTTTTTCGTTTTGGATTACACCACCTAAGAGAAGAACATGCTATAAGCGTGACGGTAGAGGCGAACAAGTTTCCAATAAAGAAAAAACCACATGGAACAAACCTGTCGTTAACTTCGGCTGTCAGCTGGATGAATACATGTACAGGCTATGTACAATGGGGAGCGGCTAACTTCACAGCTCCTACTCACCTCTTGAGGTTCAGTAATGAGATAATTAATTCCGAATGTGGTTCGATATAAGACAGACCCAGATCACCAACTCGACCTTGCTTTTAATTTCGACATGAACACTACGGGTCCTATTAATAATCCAAAACTGAAGCCAAAAATCCCCCAACAAAACAGCGCTCCCTCGGGTTTTGCAGAAATAGGAACTTAATTTTTTGGCTCTCAACACCGCTACTTTGTTTAAAGACATAGGAATAAAAAAACCTCTCAATCTCTTGTACAGACTTGGACTGCCCTTCAGAACTTTTTGAATTCGGTAACCTCGTGATAAGGGCAGAGAGAGAATGGAGTACAAGTTTCACACGGTTGTTATTATTCCCTCTACCAAGTGAATTAATACTGTAAATACATGCTTAATGCATATCAAACCAATCAACTTTTAGCAATTCAAAGTGTTATAAAAATGCTGGGATAAAAGTGATGATTGTTGTATAACAATTATAAAAAAATTGTTCAAAAAAGAAAATTTGACTAAACTGTAAACATTCAAGTTTCGAAGTTTTCTAACAACGACAGCAGAACCACATAAAAATTCATTTGCTCACACCGACAGAAGACGGGGGGTTTGTGAAAACAAAACTACAAAAATGCAAGAAATACATTTACAAAATGTAGTAAAAAAACCAACTTCTGCAGCATTCGGCCATTGATCTCGCCGTAGAATCTCAACGAAAACTTTCATTCATTAACTTCCTGATTACATTCCAACATTCTTATAAGGAAAGTAAGAGTCATACAAGAGCCAAAACTGCAAAGCTAAGGTCCTCAATATTAGAATGACGAAAGATCAACAATAAAGATCTCCCAGGTCTCAACTCCACTGTCAAGAGAAGCCACTCTACAGAAATGCCAGGGGTGGAAAACAAACGATAAAGAAAAAACTTTGTTAAAGGGCAAAAACTTGGATACGCGAATAAAAACGAGAAACGATACAAGTAACAACATATCATAACTGCATTTTTCCTCTATTAACCAAAGTTAACAACGACGAAAACAACTAATGATAAACGCAGCAAATGTGATGTTTAAAATTAAGAAGTAACGCAGTTTGATCAAACCCAGGCTGCCCAATAAATAAGAAGACTTTGCACTAATTATTGTACGTAACACCTAAGTCACAATGTTACAGCAATTCCAAAAACGCTTAAAATCAAAAAATGACCTCATTTCGTCAGGATCCCACTGGAATAAAAAAAATGAGACTGGAAATTTTAGTGGGCATGACACTTCGACAAAGCGCCATACAAGTGCCTGAAGAACAGCATACGTGAGCCAAAACATTGGATACGCTCTAGAAGTACACTTTTAGCTACTCAAAGCTCTTTAAAAAAAAAAAAAAAAAAAAAAAAAAAAAAAAAAA